TTTGGGTCCGCGTGACCTTGGCTAGTAGCTTTGTAGTAGTCCATTCTTTATATAAATCCAGTATCCGTCCATTTTCAGGTTTGGCAATTAGAATGCCCGCGTCAAATACTTAGCACAGCAACATAATATTCCTAGAACGTCACACATGGGATCAAACACAAATTGTGTAGAGGGCCTTTTCGCCTTCTTTTTCGTAGTTGGCGCCGCGTCACTCATCGAACTCATGACACTGTCCTGCTCAGGACCAAGCGTCTCAGGAACTACATATCGAACCTTCTTCTTGGGTGGCGTTGTAGAACTCGTATTCGCCCTGGGACCAGGAGACTCGGGACTGGGATCTGAAACATATTCAACCCGTGTTTGTATCGAGAAACTCAATACGCCTTTTGGACATTATTGAGAAGTATCTATGTATCGGATGGGAGTGCAGGAGAATGGTGAACGTCGAAAGCCAAAAGCTTCTGAACCGGTGAACTAGCGAGTTCAGTCAGGTCGAAATACACTCACTTCCTTCTGTGGTCTCACGGTCGCCAAACACCATCTAACATTGGAAAATAATGGTAATTCTTTATAATATCTAGATCCTTCATAAATGAATACCATAACAAGATATAAAACTCGCTAGTAAGTCAAGCAAAAACTTCGTAATGAATATAACCGCAAAACAGGTCTGGGACGGTTAGTTCTACGAGAGTTTTTCGAATGTTGTTTTACCCTATCCACCTCTATAACGTTGTATACAGCGACGAATATCCCATACCGTTTAGGAACATGCTTACGATAATATTTCTGCCACGATACCAAAAGGGATTATTATTGATGTCGTTATTAGTTGGAGATACGACATCTAGCTAATACGACTTCTAATTTTTGCAGTCAGTCTTGTCCGAGCTGCTAAGTACAGTTTTGATACCCTTTTCTTACCACATCCCGTACCACTATGTACATACATACTTAGTAGACTATTTAAATAGAGTTTGTTTATACTATGCTGTCTTGTACTATAGCGACGCCTTGTAGCCTAGCATATAAAGTATGTAGATACCTATGAGCTGAGCATTGCTTTTTAGGCCTTTTTACGCAATATAAGTTTATCAGACTGTCATGCATGATAATGCATGATAAAATACAATTTAAGCCATAAAAATGACAAGGCCTGATAAAGTGGGTCCGATCTGATAATCTGATAATGTATTTTCAGGCATTATTTGGACTTCTGGATTTTTGCGACATATAGACGACGGGCTTTCAGTGGCCTTCAGATGCAAGTAAAAGAAAACAATATTCGTATTGTGAGATGGTCTCGACTTGAGGTTATGGTATCCTATACTTATCCTTTCGCTAGGCAGAACCCACGTAGTAAATGACTCAGCTGCTAATACTGGAACTAACTCGTACGCTGCCTCTGAGAATCTGTATAATACTCGTTGTATGTATTTAATTGCATTGGCAGATTGATTTTATGAATAAATACTGCGATAACTCGATACAGAGTGTAATTAAAATGGCACGAATCACTACAAGTTCAAATTCAAGCCTCAAACACGAGACTACTGGATCCTGAGCGAATTCCAACCTTCCGTGAATTATAATATTATCGCAAGTCATACTTGTCTCGACGATAAACCTAACTCAAGATGCTGGATAGTATTGCTGGAGATATCAACAAACTCACGGAATACAGAAGACTGAAGACAAAGAATTTAGTGTCTCAGGGAACGATCTAGCATACCCTTCACCGCTTCCGTTGCACACTTCACACCCCACTCAGATCCTCAATACATATCACTACTATTACTACATGGATACTATAAGCTTCGAAGAGAATTTATAGCACAGCACGTTCAGCCTGCAGGGTTAACTCGCTCCTGCACTCGGGATTCTCTGGCGGTCGAGCCAATTGACAAGATAGTATTTCGAGGCATTGTCCCGTAACTCTGGCCGGGATCCCGGGCTGCGCTAGACTGTAGTGGCTCGGCGATTCTTCTACTACTCAGTCAACCTGCAAGGTAAGGCTTTGATTTCTGGGCTTTGTAAAAAATCAACATATTCATCAGCGCCATCAGTAAGAGGTTGCCAATCGTCGGCAAGACTGTATGCATCCCCGGGATCAGTGGATTCGGCAAACAGCCCCAGCGAATTAGGTCCGCTAAATCAGCAAAAATTACGATCCAGGCAGGACTCGAACCTGCAACCTACACCTATGAACAATTTGGTTTGAGGATGAACCACTAACCGGAAAGTGACGAACTGCCGTTGTTCCACTGGACCCGATAAGCAAAAATAGGTTTATAACAGACGTTCGTTAATATATTCATCTTGGGCCAGACTCACAATTCCTCAGTTCGACCTGGAAAGATTAAATTGAACGCACCATGTATTTGTATTTGTTCCATTTATTACTCGTATGCATATTCCTTGGTTCAAGCCGAGACAACTTGCGTGAATTATAATATCCCGTTACATTAGCGCCCACTCGTCCACAAGCGCGCGCCTGCGCCTCCTCCTCCTCGCCAGGCGTGCGACGGCGTTAAATACAGGCTATAAAAGCATACATTTTGCGGACGCAGAACTTCGAAACCATTGCTCCACTGGACCCGTTGAAGATCGGAACATTCGTTTACAATTCGTGCGGTTGACGCCAAATGCCTCCGCCTTGACGCCGGTGGTGCACCGTCACGGTAGCCCGCGCATTTCTTCTACAATGCAATATGTATGTCTTTCGATGAGCTTGACATGTTGGGACATTCGATGTATATTCTCTTGTTATGTCTTTCACGACGTCTGGTATGGAATAATTAATATATAAGTACTTATATACAAAGAAGGGTTCAGTCATGATTCAAGAAAAGGCAGCTTAGGCAGACTTACATTCATGAAACCTTTCTTAACCTAGTTTCCAAGTTAATACACTTTCGCAGAATAAGGTCTACAACGAGTTCGCTCACCATTGCCTTGGAATTCAGGAGCCGTGCTATCAGCACCTATTTTCCATTGGGGTTCCCCTGTCCGCGTCATAGCGGCGCGTCCAAATTCAATCAAATAAAATTTTGGCGGGGGTATGGTTTGACTGTAATAGTACACATGTTTTCCACCGCCTTCACGTCCTTGAAGAAGCTTGACGGCGTGAAATCTTTTGGGGAAAGGATCCATGATATTCACACCGGTAAGTCTCTGAAATAGGGATGATGACCCTGTTGTGAACAGGCTGATAATGGTGTATAAATCAGGCGAACCTGTTAGCCACATGATGCTTGTGCATATAATGTCAGGTCAGATCGATTTTACGAGACATACTTCTGCTTATAAATCAAGTCAATTATCCTTCAATCAAATTATTAGCCACTTATAGAACATGATTCGGATACACTAAGATGAGGTTACATGAACAAAATACGACGACTGCCTTCTAAAAATATTAGTGCGAGGTTCAATCGAGACGAGGGAAGGTTGGACATAATCCCATACTCTCTTCGGCATGGAATAGGGAGAGGTCGCGGGAAGCGGCCCTGCCCGGCAGGCGCTTCCGAGTGCTGCGACCTGCTTAATATAGACAAATTACCATATATGGGGGGGCAGACAGTTCTCGCACACTGTACTCGAGCGTATCTACATCCTACCTACAATGATTAATTCCCAGCGAACGTGTTATTCACACCATGTATCACTCGTCTATGTATTAAGTTTTCTCGGCCTTCAAGCTCTTTTAAACGGAAATCACCTCCTCACACAAAGCTGAAACTCCACACGCTCTTTAAATTCCCCATTCAGTATATTCTAATTCCTGATCGTAACAAGTTCAGCATACTTATATTGACAGCTCATGGCCCTCAATAAAATAATTCATGTTCAGACGCATTGAAGGCTGGATTGAAGGTTATCACTCGTGGCTAGATATGACGGCCTGGATTCACATTGGGATCGAAGGTAAAGGCGGACACTCTGTCACTCGTAAGCAGTTAGGATTTAGCAAAATTCATATAAAATCCCTATAATAACATAAATTCAAATTTTGTGCAGTTCGCTCTTCTCCGTAAGACGATTCAGAAGTAAGTAGCTAACATATTCCTGCATCCAGGAATCTGTCAGTCTTTAGCTTACATTGCGAATGAATATAAATGACACTAATTATCACAAATTGTGTACCCTGTTGAATCCAAGTCCCAAGCGTGAGACGATCTTCAGCCAATTCGATGCCACAAATCGTTTACATTTCGTCGCAAGTCGACATTGAGACCATGACTAGCTGCTGTTAGAATACGAACGAAACTCGCCTTGCCTCGCTGACGGGAGAAACCGATGTCATATGATTCAGATTTATACCTACCGAAGCACGCTTGATGCTTGGGAACGAAATGGAGCCTTCAAGGCTTCATCGAACGCGCATCATCCTGGCGCAGGAAGGATTATCCTCAATACGCATTACGGAAGGCTACCTAACTTGATATGAGAAAGAGGCGATAAGACGTCAGAAAAGATATTGTTGAGAAAGGAACATACCCAGGAATAAAAGGGAACGGAAAGAAGGGACTGGAAAAAGGTCATAGGATGTTATTCATTAGGTAGCGTTAAGGATTTAAAAGACCAGTCCCTGTAAGTCGTTCACGTATTGCTGCAGCCTGGAATATGTCTAGCTATAACGAAAATAAATTACATGAATAACTGCACAAAATTTATCCCGGTGAATTCAAGTCCCAAATGCGAGAATATTCTGAGCCAAATTCTATTCCACGAATCATTTCGTCGTCGTAAGTCGATATTGAAACCAGGCATGCTGCTACTCGAATAATATGCAAGGGAATGAACGAGCTGCACCACCAAACGCAACATCCCACACGTCATTGACACCCACCGTAAATTCACACCACCCACTAATCCTCAAACGCATTAATTATAACTACACGAAAAAAGAAACAGTAAATACAACAAGTACATTCGGGATATGGATACGTGGATAATAAGTAACGTCTAGCGGAACCGGGAGCGGGACAACGAAGGAGAAGGAACAAACAAGAAGGGGGGTATGCGAAGAGGCGATAAGACAACAGGAAGAAAGGCAAGCGTAACCAGGGAGAAAAGAGAAAGGAATATAAAAGAAAAAGGTCGTATGATACGGATATTTTACACCACGATAGGCGGTAAGGGGAGGGAAAGAGGAATGGGAAGAGAAGAGAAACGTAATCAGGAAGAAAGAAACGAAATAAGAAGAAAAAGGTCCTAGAATACGGATATTTTACACCATCCATCCATCCCCTCATCTTCCCCACTTCCACTCCCCTCCGCCACCCCCACTGCTCGCCCTCCCCCCCAATAGCCCCAACTCCCGTCCAAAGTCCCCAAACCGCGTGTCGCCTTCCAACTCCGTCCCATACAGCGTGCGCAAGACGGGCGGGGAGTCCTCGACGCCACCACCTCCTGCGCTGGATTCTTCGTCCGCTTCGGAGACGGTGGACAAGCCCGTTGCAGTATTGGCGTTCGCCGCGGTGGGGTTCGCGGTGGAAGTGGAAGACGTAACAGGCGCAGGACTCCCCAGCGAAAATGCCATCGACACACTCCGCCCGCTGCTTCGTCTCCTCTGCCCAGGCGTGTAATAAGGGTTGAATTTGTCGCTGCGTTCCCTGTCTCTCCGCCCTATCCCGCCCGCACTCGCACTCGTCCCAGCGCCAGGGCCGACAGGCCCAAACGGCGACATCATCTCAGGCTTGAATGGCTCCCCCAGCCTCGGCGTCGCGTATTGCGCGGTGTCCACCTCGTCCATCCCCATGCCGGTGTGGGTAGAAGGAGGCGTCTTGGGCTCGACACCCATCGTGTTCGTGTTCAGCGACGTGGTCCTCGACGTCGGCGTAGAGGTCGAGAGCAAAGGGAACGGCAGCCCCGGCGTGGGCGGGTGGAATAAAGGGAGGTGACTGAAGAAGGAGGGGTTGCGGGATGGGGAGAGGGGAGCGGTGGAGGAGGGGCGGGGTGGTGGGGTGTGGGGTTGGCGGGTTGCGTCTTCATCGTCCTTGTGTGCCGCGTCCAGTTCGGCTTCGCCCGATTCGTCGAACTTCAGATACGCCTCCATGTCCTCAACATCCTCCTTGCCCTTGCCCTTCCCAACAAGATCAGAACTCACCCTCCCCAACGCCCTAAACCCGCCCATCTTCTTCACGCTCCTCCCTTCAAGCCGCGGCGTGCTCATGTCGACGCCCGCACCCCTCGGAGTACTCGTGTTAATCCCAAAGAACGAGAACGCGAGCCCACCGCCTTCGCCATCTTCATCCGGGTCTAAGCGGGGCTTCTTCTTCATGGGTTTCGTGATACGCGTTAGGGCTTCTTGATCGGGATCGGTGGCGGCGATGGGGTTGCGGGTGCCGGTGGAGGACGTGTCGGGGGTGTCGAGGCGGGGGCGTTTGCCGAGGGTGGGGGCGGAAGG